GAGCGGTGAGGTCGATCACAATAGTTTAATTTTTCTATCGAGAAAAAGTTTTTCACAATACATATTGTTATCGTTCTATCGCCCAGCTCTAATATAAAGTCACATAGACCGACATGTCCAAGAGTGCTAAGCTAACCCAGCCATCGAGGTCATCCCCTGATTCCATGCAGCATCCTGCAACATGATTTTACTTTGAGTGTAAACACATTAAAATCCCACCGATGAATGAAGCACGTCTGTTTCTGTCAGAAACAGCAAAGAACAACAGGGTCTACTCTTTTCTACTCTGAGCGCTTCTGAGCGTCTGTCGGATGCTCCCAACATCTTCATCCGATGGTTTCCACCTGAGCTTTGTCTCGTTTTCCCAGCAGTGACACCACTGAGCCCTGCTGAAGGACTCACAACCTCTGCACAGTCCTGCTGACCCGGGGCCGCCCCCGGCGCTCATATTGATCAGCTGTGTGAATGACACCTGTTGTTTGTGTCTGCAGGTGGAGAAACCATCAAGAGCATTAACCAGCAGTCTGGAGCTCACGTGGAGCTGCAGAGGAACCCCCCACCCTCCACTGACCCCAACACCCGGGTCTTTACCATCAGAGGCACCGCCCAGCAGATGGACCTGGCTCGCCAGCTAATAGATGACAAGATCGGGGTATGTAAAACAAGCGCACCTCTGTAGATGCTTGAGCTCGAAGAACGAGCGCTGACCTGTGTCTCCTCCCACAGGGTTCGGGTATCATGAGTAACGGAGGGTTCGGCTTCAGCCCCTTCACCCAGGGTCCCGCTGCACACCAGAAGTAAGAGTCCTCAGATCTTGGCGCACGCCGCCGTCACGCAGCACATACGTCCGTGATCCACGTCCCTCAGAAGCAGGAAGGACGCTGCACCCATGGAGCGAGTCCAGTCCATGAGTGGGCGGGGCTGCTTTGGTGTTCTTCTACAGTGGGGGTGGGGAAGTCCAGGCCTGCAGCTTTTAGATGATCACAGCTGATTTAAAGGAGCTGCTCAGGCCTGGAGTTCCCCACCCCCGCTCTGAGTCTGAACATCCTGTTGTAATGATAGCCAGCTGCGCTCTGATTGGCTGACTGTTTAAAGGCATTGCTAACTTCACTGCAGGTAAATGTGATACCTAACAGGTAGTTTCAGGTAACCATGGAAACTAGGGTTGGGTATCGTCACTGATTTCTGGAATCGATTCGATTCGATTTGAATCAGGGAAATTTTGCCTCAGACAGTCAGAAATATTATAACTCTGATCACTTATCAGTGCGTATCTATATTTTTTATATCTATAAAACAAAGCTGACACTGTGGAGGGTAAAGAGGGAGGGGGGAGAGGGAGAGGGGGGGTGCTGTGCATGAAGTGAGATCGTGGTCGAAGCAAAACAGCAAAACTCAGAGTGAGTTCATGACGGTGTTTATGTGGAGCGTAGTTTGGATCAGGTTCAGAGATAAACTAACTGCTTCAGAATCGGCGCAAAAAGGGCGTGAACACAAAGCTCGACCCGCCGAAACGTCAGAGTCAGCGAGCTGTCGGCTTTCAGCCCCGGGCGTGTCCGTGCCGTCGGTGAGAAAGTCGCAGCTCGCTGACTCTGATGCGTCGGCGCTGTGTGTTCACGTCTCTGTGCAGAGTCGTGTTCTCAGTTAGTGTTTCAGCTGTTTGGTGGTTGTTGAAATGTTGTGAGGCTGAACCTGAGATTCTGGCGTTTCGGCCAAAATAAATTTATATTAAAAAATCGATTCAGGATTTTAATGAATCGATATCACGCCATCCAAGCCAGAGTCGATTCTAATCGATGATCAAAACGCTGAGAGAAACCCTAATGACGTGACGTTCTCTAAACGAGCAGTTCCACGCTCTGCCTCAGGGGGAGTGAGGGCGGAGGCCATGTTTGCTGTGGGCGTGCTCCGTGATGGCGCCGTGTGATGACGGTTCATGGAGAAGTTCAAGAGCTACGAGTGTGACCTGTTTTCCTGTGGTCACGATGAAAACCTTCGCGGTCCACACACGTGACGTTTCCACCTCCAACACGACCACGGCAGCGCCGCAGGCCCGTGTAAGTCTGAGGCAGCTGTGGGCGTGGCTGTGGGCGCTCCGCCACATCAGCTGATTCGTTTAACTGTCCTCTGCATTCTGTCGCGTTCGTTTGTCTAACGGCCTCATGCTGAGACGCTGATGATGATGGACACGGGCGTGTGTGTGTGTGTGTGTGTGTGTGTGTGTGTGTGTGTTTTGTGTGTGTCTTTGACTCAGCCAGCTGTGTGTTAAACACATGTTTTTATGCAGCTGTGGGAGTGGGCAGACCTTCCTGACCGGTGTCTGGGGAAACACCTACCAGACCAGCTGGCAGAACCCAGGACAGCAAGACCCAGGACACACACACACACACACACACAGACACACAGACAGACAGACACACACAGACACACACGACACAGACAGACAGACAGACAGACACACACACACAGACAGACACACACACACACACACACACACACACACACAGACACACACACAGACAGACACACACACACACACACACCAGACACAACACGACACACAAACACAGAGACACACACACACACACACACACACACAGACACAACACACACACACACACACACAGAGACACACACACAGGGACACACACAGACAGACACACACACAACAACACACAGTGACACACACACACACACACAGGGACACACACACACAAGTCTTAGCTTCTAGACTAAAGAAAGGCTGTGTGTGTGTGTGTAGGTCACAGTATGGCTCAGACAGGACAGATGGACTACTCTAAAGCATGGGAGCAGTACTATAAGAAGCTAGGCAAGTCAACAGACACACAGACACACACACAGAGCTGTGACAGAAACATATTTTGTATATGAATGTGTGATGTTTATGTATCTGAGCTCCGAGCAGTGACATTGACTGTGTGTGTGTGTGTGTCTGTGTGTCCAGGTCAGCAGAACCAGCCTCAGAGCTTGATGACAGACTACAGTAAGGCCTGGGAGGACTACTACAAGAAACAGAGTAAGACGTGTGTCATGTGAAGCTCAGTGCTGGGAAGGTTACTTTTAACATGTATTCCATTACAGATTACAGATTACATGCCCCAAAATGTATGTTGTAACGTATTCCGTTCCATTACTCAATGAGAGTAACGTATTCTGAATACTTTGGATTACTTAATATATTACCTTGTTTTTTACAACTACATGAATGTCCTATTGCTGTGTGATTTATTACTATTACTGAAGGTTACTCTCCACACCAACACCAGCTAGATGTTTAAATCTTAATATAATAAGTAACAGCAGGTGCACATTAGGTAAGGCTGCACTTTTTGCAGCGATCTCGTATAGAAAACTGTTCCTCGCGTATATAAAACAGGTCAGCGGCTCCGAACCGTAGTAAAGGGACCTCTGGCTGATACGTCGGGTTCGTGTCGGGCTCGTAGCTGAAAACTAGCTTTACTTTGTTGTCTGGGTCGACTTTGCTAGCAAGAGACAGAGAGAGGCGTTGAAAGGCTCCAACGGAGCTTATTGTTTCAGAGGAAACACGAACACAGCGTACAGTCGAGTCTTAACAGCTTACTTACAGCTGGGCTACACTGCCCACGAGGCTACATTCTTCAGGGCGATGCCTGTAACACTCTGCCTGTTGCCTTCTTATTAAGTCATTTTTTGAACAGTAAAATATTTCTTCATGTCAGTATGCGGCCACATGTAGAGGTGACGTGGGCCGTGAGATTGAGACACAGACATTGGAGCCTCTTAATGCGTGTTTTGTTTGGGTTTCCACCGGCATGGAAACCAAAAACAGAGAGGGCATAGCCAAACATATGAAACAGGAAAAGACCGCCGTGTAATCCTTTATTTCAACAAAGTAACTGTATTCTGAATACCACCTTTTTAAATTGTAACTGTAACGGAATACAGTTACTCATATTTTGTATTTTAAATAGGTAACGGTGATTCATGTACTCTGTTACTTTCCAACACTGGTAACGCTTCAGGCTGTTCCTCCGTCTCAGAAAGAAAAGTCACTTCTCTGCGTTTCTCTCTGAGCGGCTGTCAGGTGTGCGTTACAAGTTGAGCTAAAGAACAAAGGTAGGCGTGCACAGGTGTGTGCAGGGCAGCAGGCAGCTGACAGTTCCTGTTTTTACCTGTGCTGCTCCTGCTCAGGGAGATTTGTAATGTGAATGTCAAGTTTGGCCTCATTGCATGTAAAACCAGCTGATTGATGAACAACATCACACTACATCAAAGTGAACGTTTTAGAAAGCTCGAGAGGCTTTGAAGTAATGTGTGTGCGTGCGTGTCTGTGTGTCTGTGTGTGTCTGTGTGTATGTGTGTGTGTGTGTGCGTGTGTGTGTGCGTGCAGCTCAGTCGTCTCAGCAGAGTTCGGTGCCAGACTACACTGCAGCATTAGCAGAATACTACAGACAGCAGCAGCAGCCCTACCTGTGGAACCCCGCCCAGATACAGGTAACACAGGCGCCTTCTGCTTCACAGCGATGTCCTCCTCCCGTTGGTCACGGCGGCTAAATGTCACTGTCACTTCCTGTCTTCTCAGGATCACTAGAGGCTCCTCCCTCACCGGCGAAGGCCTCGGATGGTTGTCGATGGCGTCCGAATCGGGGTTTCCTAGCAACGCTCTGCCGCTTCCTCCTCCTTTTGTAGAGAAAAACTAAGGATTAACTGAAAAATCACGAACTTTCTTTCTGTTTTTTAACCTTACAAAGTCGATATTTTGTCAGGCAGATGTTTTTGGACTAGCCTCCGGTCTCCCGCGGTGTAGACCTGGTTTTTCTTTGTTTTTATTTTTTATCAAACTTGAATTTCAAGATGTATCCGTGTGGCTTTGAACAAAACGAAATCCAGTATAATCTATATTTTGTCTAGTTTTATTTTCCAATAAGAAAACGGTATAAGGCTTAGCAGTCTTGAGTATGAAAATCAGATATTACTATTATTATTATCATTGTTTTGGTTATGATAATGTTTTAAAGCATGCGTCAGGCTGTGTGTTGACTCAGTTTGTTTTTTATTTTGGCATCAAACCGTTTTAATGACATCGGATGGAAATGTAAAGTTTTTGTACTAAATCTGCTCGCTGGGTCTGTTTCTCCTAATTTTACCTGTTCAGTCGCCAACTTGGAGGTGCAATGATGCATTACTGTTTTCTTTTGGTTTGACCATAGCTCTTATTCTTGTATCTTTATAGTGATTTCTTTAGGTTTTTATGATGTAACAATGAATAAATAGCGACTTGTATTGCGTTGTCTAAAGCCAGATCTCTCTGTGGTCTAACGCTTTGTATTCTCACACGATTTAACCTCCAGTCACCGCCACGTTTTCCTGCCTCCGCTTTTATGACCGAGTCTGGGAAGATAAGTTTTCTTTGAGTGAACTTTATTATTGTTGTTGTTGGTCGCATTTCTATTTTCTGATTTGTTTTTAGAGGAAATTTCAGGAGCTGATCAATGAAGTTATCGATTCCGTGTTAGCTAAACAAACGTGTGTGTTACCTCAGCTGTGTGAATGTTTCTGCTAGCTGTGCTTCGTTAGCTAAGTGGTGCCTGTTAGCTGAATGTAAGTAAATGGAAATGCTGTCCGAGCGCTACGTTAGCTGCTGTGGGGTTGTTTGTTTTTTTTCTATGCGCACGTTACAAAGGCTAGCTGAATGAATGTGCTAACTGAACACCGTGCTTGTCTGTTGTGTGTTAACCAGGTGTCGGGTAGGTCTACAAAACCACGTTCCCAAAATTGTTCTCAAGATCATTTATGCCTAAGGTCACATGTTCCCAAAGTTGCTTCCCAGTTTCCAGGTTCCTAAGTTCTCAGGCTTCTTTGTTCCAAGGTTATATGTTCCCATTTTTGTTCCCTAGGTGCTTTATGGTTAAGCTAACCTCTAAGCCTCGTTTCCATCTCAGGAAGCGCTAAGCTTATTTCAAGTTCCCTGACATGTCGGGCAGTCTAACTAAAAGCCATACGGGGAACAGAAAATCCCTTTCACAGGTTCCAGCAGTCGTCACGTTGTGTGGCTAACGACTTACATTACGTATAGCTGTGGGGAACGTAGCAGTAGTGACTGTTTGGGAACTTGGTGTTACTCTGCGCTCGTGACGTGTTGCACAGACTGTAAATAACGACCAATAACATTTAACCTGATGCAGATCGTGGAGATTTTGTAAACATTTTAGAGGAAAAGTATATTAGAGAAGTAGAGCTGTACGGGATAATGTCTGAACGTGGAAGCATGAGCTCTCACACTGTTACTGCTAAATGGTGTAATCTGATGTGTTAGCAAAAGGCCAAAAACAGCGTTTCTAGGCTGAACGTCCATCTGTCTCATTCAACCGCATGACTAGCATGAACGAGTGACTCGGTAAATACGACTTTAATGTTCGTTAGCCAAACAAACTAGCCGGCTGCTGTACATTAGCTGTATGTTCTGTTTATATTAGGGCTGGTTTACACTTCAAAATAAATGTACAATTGTTTTGTTGCTGTTTTATACTTGCACAGATTGTAAATGTGTTTTTTTGTTTGTTTGTTTTTCAAACGCAGCCGGACTTTGAATCTACTGATTAGTTTCTTTAGCGTTAACATGCAGTTAGCAATAAAATTGTTTTGTGCATAAATTCACATTCATTGATACTTTTTAAAAACGTGCTCATCTGTACATGTGCTACACTTAGCGTTAGCACTGTTTGTTAGCTGATCATTTTTGCCTACTAGCAAAACCTTGTTAGTTGAACGTTATCAGCTAAGCAAGTGGTAAGAATTTAATCTGTGTGTTAGCTGAACGTTTAGCTCAACTTTGCGTGCGTGTTAGCGTATGTATGCTAGCGCTGTGTGCTGTTATAAGTTTTGTTTGTTAGCTGAGCGTTTAATGAAAATGTGTGCGTTTTTGCTCATTTTGTGCGTCGGCTCGGCGCTGTGTGCGTGTTGGCAGAGCAGTTCTCTGAACGTTGTGCGTGTCGGACCACAGAGAGGTTTGTCTTGTCGAGGGAGATCTGGTTGTCGTTGAATCAGTGCTTCTGCTTCGTGTATGTGTGATGATGATGATGCTGATAATAATGACGATAATAATGAGTTCTCCTGTTCAGGGGTCTATTTAAATCTGTTATGAATATTCATTTTGTCGATGTGATGATATGGTTTGTGTAAATTTCCACTCTGGCGGGTGCTCTCCAGTTAAAATGTACTTTGTTAAAGATGATATTGTTTAATTCACGTGTCGTGTCTAACCGAAGCTGAATATGTGTTATATTCTCAAGACTGCTAGGCTAACTGTCTCTCTCTCTCCTCTCCTGTTCCCGTCTGGACGCCGCCACCTTCAACACGCCTGTAATTGGACCAGACGAGCTGAGCGTTGTCGTCGCAGGCGTGTTGAAGTCCCGCAGCTCGTTGTTGTGGCCCCTCCGAGGCGTGGGGAGCTATAGTGAAGGGGGTAAATCCCCCCCCCCCCCCCCGGAGTTGTTAACGGTGGAGCGGACGCCGGCCTGGTGTCCGGTTCTCGCAGCGTCTCAGGACCTGAACCGGACACGACGCTCGCTCCACTCTAGCCTAGAACTTCCCAGTCCCGATCCCGGTCCTGAAGGGGGGACGGGGAGCTTTTTGGTTTTATGGTTTCTGTTGTTTTTCTAATGGACAGACGTCCTAACTGTAACCTGCAGATTTTTCTATTAGATTCTATTGACAGATAGAGTTGTGTATGAACCCGAGCCACGAGACTGTCGGTGGTCGAGGATGATGATTAACATGAGGGTTAATAAATGGGCTCATTCTTTCTGACTGTGTCTTTGTGACGTGCATTCATATCAAACATTCAGCTGCTGAGAGCTGCAGCCACGTGACAAACCTGTTCATCTCCTCTCATGAAGTCTTCCATCTCTACATAAACCCGCTGCTTCCCTTTAATGAGTTCTGACACTTCTGATGCAAACCCAGTGCTGTAGTTCTGGAGCAGGTCTGAAACAGAAACCGCCCGTCAGTTTGTGCTTGGTGTTATTTTAGGTTCAGCCTCTTCAGATGGGGTCAACGTGAACGAGCTGCGGTCTCAGAGCTGCGTGGTGGACTGCGTGGACGGCCGCTGCTCCGGACAAGTCCTGCCCAGATGTTCTCAAACAGCAGTGCTGAGAGAGCCTTGGTGAGCGGTTCCCACCACAGCCTGTAAACAAGCAGCAAACCATCCAAAAAACTTGATTCTGTTCATCTGGACGTTTTCTTCAGTGTTGGCTGACTGCAGGGTTCAACCTTATAAACAGGACATCTGCACAATGGCTGACATGCAGCACTGATGAACAATGCTGCAGCCGCCTCACAGCTCTGTGTGAATGCTTCTCATGGACATTGATCAGTGGACATAAGAATTTGCATATTAATGATGATAAACTGACCTCCAGCACAATGTCCTGTTCATAAGGTTGAACCCTGCAGTCAGCTGAGACTGAAGGAGTTACCTGATGATGAGGAAACGTTCCTCTCACTGACAACATCCAGATGAACAGAATCAAGCTTTCCTTACCTGGATGACTGAGCGTGCATCAACACAACCAAGCTCATCGTTTCCATAGAAACGGCTTCCTTTGACCCACACTAGGCTGAGTTTGCCATATCTGAGCCATTACTGCCAAACGTGGCATCGATGTTTCTGCTATCAGGAAACTGATTTAAGGTTTACTCTTACTGACCTTAACACTCGTTGCTGTGCTGGAATCATCCGATCCGAATTGCCCCAAGTCTTCACATTTGAAAGTGAGAACTGTTGTGGAGCCAGTTCAGGGAATATAAAGCGCTCCCTCTGCAGTCTGTGCCTCAGCCAACCAATCCAAATCTTTCAGATGGATTTCAAACTTCCAGTTAAAACATGTTTGCCACAGAGGCGGACCTCCAGAACCTGCAACATTTAAAGTTTTCAGCCGGATGTTTGTGAAGACCCGGGAGGATTCCTGAAGCCATCTGAGGAAAGCTGGGACATCTTGGGTCAAACTGCAGCTCAGACTTCAGACATTTTTCTGTTCGTCTGTTAGATTCTGAATTTTCATTAGCTGGTGTGGAGTCGGTCCTCACAAATACATAGCAGTTCTTCTCACATGAAAAGTGGGAGTTATCATTTATTCATGTTCCCGGAGCGCAGACAGATGGTCTGAGTGACGGCCTGATGTCATCCATCATTAGGGCATTACTGTAATCACACGCCTGCAGATCCCCGGGGATCAATAACAGTGATCCATCAGGTCTGCAGCTCGAGGCGCCGGGCACCTGAGCGGAGTTAAAAGCCCCGCCCCAACACGGCCTCCTGCAGGAGCAACAAGTTTCAGAGATGGCATCTGTTTCACGATGAGCGTGACGAGACGGCGTTATTTTTGTAAACCTGAAGCTGACCGACAGGCGTTTGTTCCCACTGCGCTGAACAGAGTGACAAATGTTTAAAGTGATGAAGATGGAGGGAAAACGTGAGAGCTCTGTTATTACTGCCATTGTAGGTGTACTCGTATATGTGCCTGTGTGGGGACTGTGGTGTCATTAGCGTCCTCAGGGGACCCTGCAGTCACTGAGTGCAGCACTTCAGTAATTATTCAGTATGAAACTGGCAGCTATCAATTCTTTTGGTAACTTATCAAAGAAATAGGACGTTTCCTTATCGTCTGATGACTTTATGGAAGGTTTTAGTGTGCCATCCTCAGACACCTGCACAGGGGCCAGTATTTGAACACGTTTCGCGCTCACAGTAGAATCCAGTTCAGGGTCAGCGCCACAGTCCCCATGTTGCATTATATATATTGCCGCGGGTCCTCACAGAGACAGCTGGACCGGCGTGAGTGTGTGCTGCGGTGCGGAGGAGAGTGTTGGCGGTCGTAAAGTACAGGAAGCAGCTCAGTAAGTACAGATGAACCCTGAGTCTGTGGCAGGCCTGATTAAACATTAAAGTAATGGTGATCTGGATCCAGTCCAAACCTTTTCCCCGAAGCTCGGAGACCAGCAGGCCAATAATCTGTCTGCCAGCCTCGCTGCAGGGGGCAGAAGTATGTGGACGCGTGACTCAGTGTTCATTAATGCGCTGCTCTAAAAGCCTGCACTCGTGCGGTCTCAGTCCTGCGGTCGATGTTTGTCCCGCTGATATGACAGAACATTACAATGAACATTAACCCTTCACGAGGCAAAGAGCCGAGGTTACAGAGCAGCGTGACGCCTCGTTCATCATCCAGGCTTTGTTTGCTCCGGAGGACAGGCCAGACCACAAGTTTGTGGACGCTCCCACAGTTGCTGCTTCATCTTTTGAGTTTGAAATGAGGAGAAAGCTTTGATGTGAGCAGGTGAACATCCTTCCAAAGGAAGCGTGACTCGTCTTTAACACGTACCTCCATGTCTGTACCCCCCACCCCTCCGCGCACACACACCAGCTCAAACAGCTGGACGGCAGACTGACACTTACTGTCGTTGGCACCAAAGTTAAACTGTAACTTGAGTGATGATAACATAAAATAATAATAATGAGAACCTATGAGTGATGTCACAGACTGGATACACAGTGAGCGACGTCATCGTCCTCTGTTACTGAGCAGCTGCAGACCAGATGTGCACCTGATGTGAGCGAGGTCATAGAGATGCTCACCTGGTTGTTCCACAGCGTGTCCGCAGCACTCGGCGTTGTTCTGCGCTACACTGAACCTCAGTCAGACTCATGTTTGAATTGTGCTTGCAGCGCCCTGCTGAACTTTGACCTCTGCCTGAAACCATGTTGAAGGAGCGTGAGGCGAGAAGTTTGTCTTGAAACCTCGAAAACGATGAAGAAATAAGGACCGAGCAGACGCTCCGCCTCAGCACCCTGGGTCACATGACCACGCGGAGCAGAAACATTTCTTTTTTTTTTTAAATGACATCAGAAACAGCAGTATGCGACATTACGTGATGGCAGAGCTTCAGTTCATCCTTTGTCATTTTTTTTTTTTTTAATAAATAGGACAGGGGGAATGAATGAGAGAAAGAAAACCAAAGGGGAGAAGAGACGGTGAGAAGGGGGGGGAAAAATAAACAACTCCTGGGTCACCTGTATGGAGAAAAAAAAACAAACAAAAAAAACAAACAGAGGAGACAGCAAACAACAAAGAGCAACATAATAATAGAGAAAACAAAGCACCATCACAATAAACTAGCTAGTCATAGATATCAATAGTTACTAAATAATAAACGATATTGTGCAGCACGCAAGATAGACAGCGCACAGTGTGCTTTGAGGCAGCAGCCAAGAAAGCTTTAGTCCGCGTCTGTGAATACCCATGTGTACACCTGTGTGCATACCTGTGTGGATCAGCATGCTTGCATTCCAAAGGTTTCTCCATGTAACGATCTGCTAGGGAGTGTGGGGGGGCCACAGCCCCGTCCTCCAGGGTGATGAAGCAGGTATGGAGGAGATCAAAACTCCAGACATCCAGAGGCCCCCAGAACACAAGAGACCAAGGAAGACCAACAGAGGGGCAGCCGCGCCACTGTCCCAGTAAGAGCTGAGGAGAGTCCCAGATGAGGGCTCACTCAGCAGCCGCGGAGCAGAAGCCAGGGGGAGTTGCAGTGACGCGCCCGTGAGCTCCGCCGGCCCCCAGCTGTGCCTGAGTGACCGAGCCCCAGGCCGAGAGGCCGGGGGCACCCCACCTCCAAAGGGGGCCCGAGCGAGCCCCAGGCCCCAGGCCCCGACAAGCGGCCGCCAAGGAGTGAGCCGGTGTGTACCCGGACGCCCACCCCCAGACACAAAGAACCACCAGCACACCGACACCTGAGGGAGTCCGCCACCGGCAGGGGAAGTGGTGGTGGGTGGAGATAGGCCTCCAAACCTTGGAGGGCCTGAGGTGTCCCCAGAGAGGTGGCGTCTGATACCCAACCTGACATATAGACACAGACATACAGGCACACACAGACACAAACATCCATTCCCACCCTCATGCTCTCATGTGCACTCACTCCACACTCAACCAACGTGGAGACAGACATAAAGAGACGCTGTACACACGATCACACTCCCCAAGCGTACTCTACAAACCGGGTCTAGGTACCCTTGCCCCTGGAGGGGGGAATTGCACCCAGACCCAGGTGGTGTTACCCTTTTCCCTGCGGTGGGGAGAGGCAGACCACCCCGACTCCGCAGCAGCAGGGACCCACACCCCAGACCGCAGCCGGACGGCCAACTCCAGAAACATTTCTAAGCATCGGTTCGTCTTAGAAACGTAAGTGTGCAGCACATGTACTCTATTACAACCCGAACACACCTGACAGAGCTCAAGTTACACTTTCCAACTTACAACGAACCAGAACCTGAACCTGAGCAGCTGAAACATGCCGATACGTTGAGCCAGACTCGGATCGACCTCCGATTGGGGTGGTTCCGTGTGGTCGTTGGTGAGAGGAGGGCGGAGACAACAGCCTCAGAAGATCACGTTTAACGCCATCTTTTATTTACAGTCTCACGGAGCAGGGCTCAGGTTTGTCTCCAAAAAAACTGAAAACTGAATCTAACAGGTCAGAAAGACGATCACGACTGACCTCTGACAGCAGAGGAGGATGATGATGGTGGTGGTGATGATGAGGCTCGGAGCGGGGGGGGGGTCTCGCGCAGCTGAGCTCATTAACGCGCTTTTAAACGCGGATTATTTGCGGCTCCGTCTGCGCGCCGCATGAATACTAATGAGGCCGCAGCGCTGCTTAATCACGTTAGCGGAACAATATCAGTGCGCCATTTGTGCGCGTTCCCACCACCTCTTCCTCACCTCTCCTTTCACCTCCTCCCCGCCTCCCCC